TCCTTCTTCTTCCCTCCCTTCGTCCACCCCTCCCTTAACCTCCTTCCGTCCCTCTTCTGACACTCCCTCCGCCCCTTGAGCCGTGGGATCCATCCCCCCCCTCCAGCCGCATCCTAGCTCCCATCCCGTCGTCTCTAGTTCCCCTCTCTCCTTCCCTCCGCCCTTCCCTCCCTCCTTCCCCACCTCCCCCGTTTCTTCCGTCCAGTTCTCCAATGCCGGGAGCGAGGTCGTTGCCTTTTTGCCGACGCTCTCCGACAATGCGTCCGGCCTCTCCTGTGCTTCTATCCCGTCTGCAAGCATTCCTCCCTTCTCCTCCTCCGCTCTTCTTTCTCCTCTCACGCCTTCTCGCCCATCGCCCTCTCCTTCCTCCTCTGGCCCTGCCCTCCTCTTGGCAAGCTCCACCCGCGATACCCCTCCCTTTCCCTCCTCCCCTCCCTCGTCTCGCCCTTGCACCGCCTCTTCTCCCTCCTTCACTTTCCACTCCTTGTCCTCCACGCTCACCACCAACGCCGCTACGCTCTCCCGCCTCACGGCCCCTTCCACCTTGCCTCCAACTTGGACCCCGGAACGCTCTTCGTCCCACTCTTTGCCTCCTTCGCCCTGCCCAACTTCCTCCTCCTCCTCCTCCTCCTCCTCCTCCTTCTCCTCCTCCTCCAACTCCTCCCTCTCCTTCTTCTCCTTCTTCTCCTCCTCCTCCTCCTCCTCCTCCCTCGCCTCCTCCACGAGTCGGAGGACGGGCGGCCACTCCTTCGCGCATTTTTGGTAGTACCCGTCGTGTGCCCGGCTTAACATATGCAGAAGTTTTCCCGCCATGACCACACGTCGAAACAGATCTTCCTGCAAGAAGGGAGGCACCCTCGAACGGAACCCTCCCCCCTCTCTTCCCTCCCCATCCTCCTCCCCTGCTTCCTCAAACGCCAGTCTTAGGAAGTCGCTGCCGCTCGCATCGTCACCGTACCACTTCCGACCCATCCCCCCCTCCCTCGCTGCCTCCCTCGTCTCCCTAATACGGAGGGGAAACTCGTGACAGGGGTCGTCATGGCGGG